GGGGGTATGGGCAGTTTGTGGGCTTGCTTGTCTTCTCCTTGCGTTCTCCCTGGGTCCTCCTTCCTCCTCCCTCCCTCACTGACAGCCACCCCTGGCCTTTATCTCCCTGCTCATCATCGATAAGAGGGTAGAGAACAGAGGGGCTAAGAATGCATGACCCAGCCCGTCCACCCCGGTGGCCTCTTGCTGCCTCTGACCCTGCTGGCAGGGGCCCAGTGAGGCGCTGGGCCGGTGCCGTCCCGGCGGGCAGCACTTGGTGAGAGAGCAGAGTTGCATAAATCAGGGAGGCTGGCGTCCAGCAGCAGTGTGAGCAGCACCAAGGCGAAGGAGGCTGACCTGCTGCCGCTGGGCTCTTGTGCAGGCACGGGAGCTCTGTGGCCCCGGTGGGACACGGCCGGCAGTGAGCCTGACGGTAGCTGCCCCTGGAAGCCACTTCCTCCTCTTTCTTCCGGTTCACGTGCCAGATGCCCGGCACTGAGAGCTCAGCCTCCCGCAGTCGGGGTTTCTTTTCTTCCTCCACCTGGGCTGGCAGGCCCCTCAGATCTGTCCTCCCTACTCCTCTTTGGGAAGTGGTACCTGAGTGCTGAGCAGAAAGCTCCCATGTGCCCAGAGTCTCATCAGGCTTGACCATGAGCGAGGGGCTTGGTCAGATTTCTCCTGGTGGGCCAGGGCCACGGGGGAGGGAGGTGTCCCCTCCAGTCCACGCTCCGGGCTGGCCCAGACCCTGGAGCCAGGCCGACATAGAGATCCAGTGTCAACATTGGCGTGAACTCACCCACCACATGGCTTGGACTGTGCTTGCTCCTCCCCGCTGGACCTGGTCCCCCTTTTTACGACAGGGTGGGAACGAGGGCCACCCTGGCTGGGTGCCAGCACACCCAAAGCGCACGACTTGTGGCTAGAGTCCGGCTGGCGGGCAAACAGAAGCAGTCTCTGAGCTTGAGGAAGCCAGGAGTGGGTCCCTGGCACCTCCCAGGGTCCCCACACCCAGCTGTCCGGTGTCTGGAGCCTGGGAGTGGTGGGGCTCAGATCTCCTTTCCTGGAGCAGCAGCGGCACCCTGCCCCCGGTTCAGCCCCTCACCCGGCTCAGGGACTCTGAAGGAGTGCAAAGCTTTGGCCTCCCTAACCAGATGCAGGATTTGCTCCTGCCCAGACTCCTTCTGGGTTTGTGCCCAGCTCACCCTTCCCTACTAGGACACCCGCTCTTTCTCCTCTGCCAACTGTTCTCTTGTGAGGGCATTGCCCTCCTGGGAAGCAAATGTGTGAGTCCTTTTCCTCTCAGCTTTTCATACAGTGCTGAGTCTGCCCTCAGCAACCCCACCCTGCCGTCAGATACCTGGCGAGAAATACCTTCTTGCTCCTCAGATCATTGGAGGCGGCTATCCTAGGGAAGTGAGGAAAATCAGATGTTACCTGGGAGTTGGCAGCCCAGCCCTTGTCCCGCATCTGTTATCATAGGCTTCTTTCCGTGCTGACCCACGGTCAGGGTCTTGGGGCGACCGAACAGGGAGTATGTAGGGGCTGGCCGCTTCATGAAGAGGAGGGCTTTTATCTGCACCCACCCTCTCCCCCACCAGCATCTGGCCCTGTTGGCCTCAGTGATACCTGCTCAGTGAGAGGGATCACTCGGGTACCTCAGCTGTAAGAGGAGAAAGAAGCTAATGCCTTCTGAGAGGTTGTGAGTCTGACTCGCACACACCTTCTCTCCATCCCATGCGTGGGAAGGGGGGTGGTGGCCAGCCCAGTATGACAGACAGGTGCCCACGTTCATGCTCCCCGCCCCCACCATTCCAGGAGCAGACATCACTAATCAATCAGGTGCTCAAACTCTGAACTGATTGCAGCCTGAGCATCCTCCTCGGTGTATCCTCAGGCTGCCCAACCCAGTCTACAATCCCCAATGTGGTAGAAAGGATGCTAGAAGGGCGGTCCCCCAAGCTGGTTCAATCCTGCCCTCCACTTACCAGTGGCTTTGATGTGGGAAGCCCTTATTTCTTTGCCAAGTATCCATCATCTGAGGACAGTGTCTCAGGATCTGTGGCCCCTCCACCATGTCGTTGTGAGACAGAAAGGGTCTCATGACCTCTGAGGGTCTGTATAAGAGCAGGGGTGATGATTTGCCCACATGGGCACCATGCATGTTGGTTGGAGGTGGTGGGAAAGCACCCTCTACATCACCAGTCAGGAGAGAATCTGCAGGTCCTGGGAGGGGTGGGGAGCTGCAGGCTGCTTCCTTTTAGAATTTGCAGCTGGGGAGGGTCTGAGATTTGGAAGTACCTGTTTTTTTTCCTGTGTTCTTATCTCTAATTTGGCATATCACATTGAGTATCAGGCTTCTAAAGGGAGAAAGAAAATGGGCTTCTGAGTTCCCGTAGTGACTCTGTGAGGTTAGAGGTATTTTCCAGGTGAGGACACTACGGCTCAGAAAGGTTAAATGACTTGCCCACAGTCACACAGCCACTAAGTAGCTAAGCCAGGATGTGAGGCCAGGTGTGCCCTGGCACCTGTGTGCACCGCAGGTGCGTTATGATTTATGATAGCCCCTCCCGCACTCCCCCCACACCCTTGTGAACCAGTAGGATTGTCCACCCTCCCCTGGTCCCTGTATAAAGAGCTACCCTGACGTAGGTGGTCATAAGGAGAAGATGTGCCCCTTTGGTTGAGGAAGCGGGACTTTGGGCAGCTTTACAGGTGCCTCCCTGACACTGAACTGTGGCTGGCAGATGCTCTCACCAGCCGGTATCCTGGCCCTGGCACCCCAGGGGCTGTGAGCGGCAGGCACTTCCCAGGAGGACACCCTCAGCCTCCCAGGAGCTGGTCAGGACCAGGAGGTCCTGCTGGCACATTTTCTTCCCAGGCCTGGGTCCTGTGGGCTGGTGGGTGGGTGCTCCTTCATTTCGCTGAATTAACTTTATGCTGCTGGCTGATTTCCCCAGGCGGCTGCCCGTCTGTCTGTTCTTAGCGCCACACCGTGTGCTGCCCGACATCCCCAGCTCGGGCTGGGAGGCAAATGGGATGATCCCGTGTGGGTGTCTTGTTTCCCAAGAGCCAGCCTTGTCTTGGAGCCATTCTCTACCCAGGTTCCCAGGTGGCCCTCATAGAAGGCAGGTGGACAGGCCGAACAGGAGCCACTGGGGAAATGTCGCCGGTACAGGCCGAGGCCAAGGGGTGGTGAGGCTCAGGCAGAGAAGAAGGGAGGCCTCTTGCTTGAGGATTAAAGAATTGGAAACGCCAGACCCTGTGGTAGTTTACAAGGGGTGCTGCGGAAAGGGGGTGGGCATGAAGACAGCAGAAGGGTTGGGGTTCCCAGCGCCACCAGACACCGCGTGTGACCTCAACAGTAACACTCATCTCTGAGCACCAGCTTGCTCAGCTGTGGGATGGGGCTGAGCCTAGACCCCGTGCCGTCCACAGTTTCAAAGGATGTCTGTGACGTGGGGGCCCCATGAGGGCAAGGCCAGTGCTCCACGTCTAGGCCTTTTCTCAACCCTTCATAAACACTTGCAGAAGGAGCTTGGGTTCTCGACCTGTCTGGACCCAGGTTCTGATTCTTCCAGGAACTTGGGCGTGTTACTTAACTCCGAGCCTTTGCTTCTCCAAGAAGTGGTGGGGCTGAACTTGCTACCAGGGACAGTTCTGCCAAGTGTGACATGTTTCATGAAGCACTCTCTGCACAGAGCCCAGCACCCAGCAGGTGCTCGGTGAACATTCCTGCTGTGCATCAGCCGTGTGCTTCCCGGGCTCACCCTGCCCTCCACCCAGCAGGCTCCTGTCCCTTCCGGGCCACGTCATGCTCTGACTTCATTCCCCTGATCGGTTGTCTTACGATGCACGAGGCTTTCTCAGGGATCAGGGAGTGGAGGTGTGCTCCGCAGGGAGGCCAAGTAGCAAGGAGCCGAGAGCCCTAGGACAGGTGTGAGAGCAGGAGGGTCAGGCGGGACCCTCGGCACACACTTGGCCACGGGCGTGTTGCTCTGGGGATACTCCTTCCACCTGCTGAACCTCCAGATCCCACCGAGTTACCCCACAGCCGGGGCTACTCCGATGGGCAGTGTCTCTGATGGGCAGTGTCAGCTGGGCCGCTCATGTGCAGCCAGCGACCCCCGTTTCAGACCTCACTCTGGGGGCACAGGAATCGGGGTGCTCAGGCTGCCAGCCTCCTCCAAGGGCCAGACGTGCTGAATCTGGCCCATGCTTGGAGCCAAGCCAGGCACCTTCAGCCAGCAACTGATGCCTCACTGGTCCTAGCTTTGGCCATCTTCCTTCTTCTCCTCTCCGCCCCCGCCTGGGCCCTCCTTGGCAACCCTTCTTGGTCTCACCTGGCCAGGCCCCACTGGCTTATCACTGAACTCTGATTCCTGTACCTGAGGAAACTTCCCAGCGCCCCCTCCATGGAACCGTGGTCTCTGCCTTCTTTGTGTGTGTGTGTCTCAGTCTGCTCAGCTGCTGTAACAAAGTGCCATCAACTGGGGGCTCGAACAAGAGGCTTTCATTTCTCATAGTTCTGAGGGTCCCGAGGTCAGGGTGCCAGCATGCTTGGGATCTGGTAAGAGTCTCTTTCCTGGCTCACAGACGGCCACCTTCTCACCATGTACCCCTACAGCTTTTCCTAACAGCACGCACATGGAGAGAGCTCTGTCTTCCTCTTCTTATAAGGGCACCAGTCCCATCATGGGATCCCAACTTTGCAGGCTCACCTAAATCTAATCACCCACAAAGGCCCTGCCTGTGGATACTGTCATATTAGGGGTTAGGGCTTCAACATATGAATTTTGGGGTGGACACAAATATCAATCCATAACAGTGCTCTTCCTCCAGATGCATCTTCCCTGGATGGGCTCTGTCTGGGGTGGGGGCCAGTGTTGCCCAGATGACAGCTGGAGGAGGCCAGCCAGCCTAGGGGAAAACCCCTGGGGAAGGAGACGCCCCTCTTCAGAAGACTGTGGGCACATAATGTAGCCTCACTGGCCTCAGTTTCCTTGTCTGTAGAAATGGGAGTGATGGTACCCCCCCCCCCAGTCATCATGAAGTGTGAGAGGCCCAATGACAGGGCGACTCTCAACACAGGGCCTGTACCCGCAGAGGACTTGGCTTACGGTAGCCGATAGCCCCATGTGGGCACATTTAATCCTCTAAAAAATGCCACCAGGCAGGTGTTTGCATCACATCTTATCTTTAAGGCAACTGAGGCTCAGAGAAACGAAGTGGCTGAGCCAGCATTATCACTGCAGAGAGAAGCGAGGGGGTGGGCCGCAGGCAGTGGGGGTCACAGCGGCTCCAGTCACCTCACTCCCTGGCAGCGTGAGCTTACCAGTTTTTCAAGGAGGCAGGTGGTGTCCCTTCTAAGCAGGTGTTCCCCACGTGGGATGTGGGGGTAGGGGTACCATCACTGCCCCACCCCACAACGCACAAAGACACGCACACACTGCAATATGCGCAGGGACACAAACACACGTACATACAGAGGGACATGGGACACATACCCGTGGACACACAGGGACATGGAAACATCTAGAACGACATACAGAAACACGGGAACATGACCCACACATGAGGACACAGAAACACAGAGATACATATACGCAGGGGACACACAGGGACACATACACGGGGACACACAGAGATCAGGATCCATACACTGACAGGGATACACACACACAGACATGCCTGCCTATATGGGGACACACACAGAGAGACACAGAGACGCATGGATTCTCTTTCGCACAAACACACTCCTGTGGCCCCAAGGGGCTGGCTCTTCTGAGTCACTGTCCCCTAGACCTCGAGAAGTATGGTGCTACCCTATCCCGGGAGCCAGCGGGTTCTGGGTCTCTCCTGCCGCTCTACCCAGGGGTGTTTGCACAAGATGCTGAGGCAAAGGGACAGTTCTTTCCAGCCACCCGACTTCATGCCATCTTTAGACCACAGCCCACAATGCCATGGGGCCGTGAACCGGTGCAGCCAAGCTGGGGCCCAACCTGTGTCCCCTGGAGGACCTGACCGGCGGGCCGCACTGGATGTTGGTGCTGAGGACTGGGCTGGTGAGCATTTCCGAGAGGGACGTCTCCTGGGCAGGCATTGGCCTCCCGGCTCTACACTGGTCCCATGTGGGCTGGCAGGGCGTCTCTGCAGAAGCCAGGGATCTGAAGGAGGCCCAAGTGATGGCCGCGGGGTCCGGCAGCCCTTCAGATGCCTCAGTCAAAGGGCAGAGCAGCCCCTCACAAACTCGCTGTTGGGCTGCAGCTTCTTCATCCCTCCTTCATGTTTGTCCTCCTCCCCGATCATCTGCCCTTGGCCTTTCTCTTTCCTGAAATGGTATCTGTGCCAATAGGAATTTGTTGTTTCTTCACGGGCCTGTTTCAGCAGCAGGATCCCTCCTCACCTGGGGCTTTGGGCTGGGCTCTGAGCAACAGAAAGCATCTACCCAGGCCCTACCCAGCATCTACACAGCCCCTAGACTGTGCATCGGGGTGGGACCACCAGCCTTAAGAGTCTGTGCCTCAGGACTACCCCTGGGCCTGGGGAAATAATAGACAGTGTGATGCCCGCCGCCCCTCCTCCCTCCCACTCCCCTCGCCTACTGCCCTGCCGCTCCCCTGACTCCGTCCCTCTGCCGGGGTCCAGGCTGCCTTTGTGGATTTGCTGGTGTTGTAGTTGGGGGCCTGTTTTCCTAAGGCTGGGAGACCTCTCCCACCCATTTGCTGGTTTTATTCTGTTCCGGCATGCTGGAAGACCCCAAGGTGGCCTGGGGTTCAGAAGCAAGGCCCAGTGCTTCCTCCGGAGAGAGGGCAACTGTGACGTGACAGGGAAAACTCACAGTGAAAGAGCCTTACTCTGAACGTAGCCACTGTTGTCCACCACCCGCACTCTGCAAGGGTCTGGCAGGGGACACGCACGACTCACATGCTCTGGACGGCCCTTGGAGACAGAGCGTGGCACAGAGCAGGGCTTGGACTGGGATGCTTTGGGGGCAGTGGGCTGGCTAGGAAGTGTTGGGGCACCCTTGGCTTTGGGGCTTCTCTCAGATGAGGGTTTGCATAGGCAAGAGTTCACGGGGAGGGGCCTGGCGACTGTCATAGTATCAAAATAAAGTCTGCCTCTCAGAGCCTCCCGGGGCTGCAGTCTGAGCCCCAGGGGGGGCCATGTGCTCCTCCCTGTCAGCCTTGTGTCCCCTCCACACAGCAGGGCAGGTGTGTGGGCTGCCCCAAGCACCAGGGTAACACTCAGTAATCTTGTGGAGGATGAATGCGGCGCTTCAGCTGAATGTGTGAGCAGCAGGACCTTGCAGGGAGAGAGGGTGGGCCAGCTGAGGGGTGGAGAGGGTGGTCGCTGCTGGGATTCTGGGCATTTCTGACCTGCTGGCAGAGGGGATGAGCCCACTTCTGAGCTGGACGTGGGGGCCCCCTGCTGGTGGTGGCCAGAAGCTCAGCCCCTTTGTATGGAGAGAAGATCCATGTCCCCTCACGGAGAGTCCCTTGGTCCCTGCCTCCTGGGCTGGAAGACCCTCTGTCATATCCCTGCTGCGGAGACGTCTGTCCGTTCATTCCTCTGGGACTTCAGGGTCCCAGGAGCCTTCGCAAACCTGCTCCCTGACCAGGACCCAGCTGTCAGGTTTGCCCTAGGCTTTGCCCCAGGATCTCCAGCTCTGTGTGGACATTTCTCCAGGTGCACACACTTTCTTGCTTCCTGTGGGCTCCAGTGCCAGGTGGGCTGTCTGCCCCTGGCAGGCAGGGAGAGGGTGAGTGACCATGAGTCATGGCCTTGGCACGCAGGCCGTCCTCCAACCTTTCCAAAACTTAATGCTCTCCCGTTTAAATCATTCGCTCCCTGGAGCCAGGGGCCAACTGGCCATTGTGAGCCGAGCTGAATGTGACAGGGACGTGTGGCCTTTGCACCTGGGAGTGTTGGGGCCCAGCCCAGGCTACACTTGCTTCTGGGTGGCTCTGCTGGCTCCAGCTCTTGCAGAGAGTCTGGGAGAATTCAGGGAGGCCCAGGCTCCCCGAGAGGGCTCTGAGGCTATAGGTGGCCATGGAGCCAGACGTGGGCCTGCCAAGCATATGTGGGGGTGGGGGTTGGGGATACCTCCTGCTGGGGAGATGCTCTGGGTCATTGCCCACTCTGATGTATGTACCTGATCCTCCAGACCCTTCCCTGGCCATCACAGTGAGGAGCGGGGAGTCCCCCTCTCTAGAGGGCCTTCCCAGAAGCCAGGGTGGCTAGGTTCCTGCTAAGCATCTGGTCTCTCTCCTATGTGCTTTTGAGTTCCCAAGACAGAGACCGCCAAGCGTCTCCGCTTGCTCACTCACTGTGCTGTCAGGAACAGGTGGTAAACCTCTCCGAGGCTCCCATTTCTCATCTGTGAAATGAACAGAAGGACCTGCCCACAGGGTGTTGTGGGGGTCACATCCGATGATGAGGCCATGTGCTCGCACCGCATACCTGGAATGTGCATGGGGAAGGCTCGCCATGTCAGCCTCTCATCCTGTTTTTGAGTCCTTGGCACGGCATGGCGTTGACCCTCATGAGGTGCTGGGTGCTCTTTTTCGGATGAATTGCCAACTTACCTTGGTGTGCCATTCAGCAGCCCCTGGAGCTGTGAGCCAGTGGGAGTGTTCTTGTCTGTCCCATGAAGCACGCAGGTGCCGAGGCACGTGGCTTGCTGGCAGGCCAGTGCCTCCTGTCCTCCTGCCTGGGCTAGGCCCAGTGGGCCCTGGGCAGGTCACCTCAGACTCAGGCTGCAGGTATCCAGGCATCCTGTGTGGGCTTCTGCCCATCAGTGGGCACTGACCCTAGGAAACCCAGGGCATGGGGTCCCAGCTGTGGGCCCCCTGCTCGGCCTCCTGCTGCCCTCAGAAGTAAGCTCGGCCTCTCCCATGACTGTCAGGCTGTCCCCTTCTTGGAGCGCTCCTGGCCCCCACCTCCTCCCCGCTCACCAGGCTGCCCCACCCGTGCTCTTCTCGCTGTGGGCCTCTGCTATGATAGCCCTTCTGCGAGACTGTCCCTCCCGTGGCTGGCCTCTTGCCCATTCTGGGTCTCCACTCGCTGCCCCACAGAGGCAGGGACCACCCTGCTCACACCCTGCTCACATCGTTTTCCCTGCAGACCACTGACATAGTTGTGATGTCCCCCTCCCCAGCCTCCAAGCCAACAGCTGGTACCCTGTCCACTCACCGTCCTCCACAGGCCAAGCACCCAAGGAAACTTGCTGCAAAGAGGAAAGCGTAGAGTGTGTGTTCGCCGAGACAGGGGGAGCGCTGGAGACTGGGTCTGAGAGTGGGAGGCTAAGGCAGTGAAGCCCCCCAAGCCCCCCCAGCCCCCCCCCGCTGGCCCGCTGCCCTAACTCGAGCCCCCACTCCACCCCACAGCACCGGCAGCTGCTAAAGGACAGCTTCATGGTGGAGCTGGTGGAGGGGGCCCGCAAGCTGCGCCACGTCTTCCTGTTCACCGACCTGCTCCTCTGCACCAAGCTCAAGAAGCAGAGTGGAGGGTGAGTGCCCACATGGCGCCCATCCCGTGGGCCGGCCAGGACTGGTTTCATAGATGAAAGAAACCTAGCTTTTTTTTTTTTTTTTCTCTCATATAGTGAGCCTAAAGAGTTCGGTAACTATGTGGCCAGGCCACTTTCTTTAGGTTACATTGTTTCCAGCCGGCCACGATACCAGGCTCAGGGTGAAAGGCCACCATTAACAAGGTGGGGACAGTCTAGGTCAGGATCAGTGACCAGCCTGTTATCTCCTACAGTGGAAGGGGAACCTACCTATGAGGTACTACTGGGGGACTGTCCCGTCATGACCCAGGAAGAGTAAGTGACAGGTCAGGGAGCTGCAAGATCTGGTGCAGGCAGGCAGGTGACGGAGTGCAGCAGGGCGGGCATCACTAGACCATCTCTGTACTTTGTCTCCCCAGACCAGGTGAGAGCTTCTAAATTATTCTCAGCCTAGGCTACAAACCGCCCCACCAACACACCCCTCCTCCCGGGGATCAGACCACTCAGGTTGCACCAGCTGGAATGGAAAAAAGAGGTCATATTGAGAAAGACCAGAACTGGGCTCTTTCCCTCATTCTGCCGCTACCGTACTGAGAGCTTTAAATCAGTCATCTCAGAGGACAGCCTCAGTTTCCCCTTCTGTCATGGCAGGGGATTACCCCCGGTAGATCTGTAGCTCCTCAAACTCTACGGCTCTGGGGGCGTCTGCAGTCCTATCCTGTAGGGCAATGGATGCCCCCGATGTGCTCCCACCTCAGGGAGCCCGTGAGCCGCCACCATCAACCCAGGATAAGGTGGATCAGGCCTAAGTCACACATGCAGAGTGCCCATTGCTAGGGGTCACCAGGGCTGGGTCACCAGTGTTGGCCGATGGCCTTATGCCAGCCTGTCACATGGACCACAAGCTGGGTTGAAGGTCTTATAAACTATGCAAGCCTCAAACTTAGGCTTTCTTGGCTCTTGAGAACAGTGACATTAGCAAAGAAAAGCAGTCCGCGTGTTAACGTGCTATTTCCTCACCCAGCAAAACCCAGCAGTATGACTGCAAGTGGTACATCCCACTCACGGATCTCAGCTTCCAGACGGTGGACGAGTCGGAGGCGGCTCCCAGCATCCCTCTGGTGCTGGACGAGGAGCTGGATGCCATGAAGATCAAGATATCCCAGATCAAGAATGATATCCAGAGAGAGAAGGTGAGACCAGTTGGGAAGGAGCAAGGGTAGGCCCTGCAGCTGGAGCGGCAGCAACCCCTCGAGCATGGGTATCTGGGTATCTGACCTACTTCTGGCCTCGGGGACGTGCTGGGACCCCTGCGGGCCCACCGTCAGGCTTGGAGCCATCCAGCATGTGGGGTGGGGGAGGTGCCCAGCTGCACCGATGCGGAGAGAGTCCCAGATAGGGGGATCAGCCCCTCTAGGTGTTCTGGACTGCCCCAGGCAGGCCCCTGATTGTTTCTGGAGAGGGAACGGTGAGGATGAGGCATTCGCATAGAGGGTTACCCCAACCAGAGCCGGCACCATACGGTGGCCACAGACAAGGTGGGTCCCCAGAAGGTTGAGCTTCGGTTCAGGGATGCCTGGCTGAGGTGGGCTCAGCAGGACAGGGGTCTTCCTCACCCCTCCCCCACCTGCTGGCCTACCATACCACAAACCCTGTAGGCCGAGGAAGGCTCTGGGAGCAGTGGGGACGGGACCGGGTGGCACTGGGCCCCCGGAATGGAAACGTGACTGTGTGGCCTCTCCCCACAGAGGGCAAACAAGGGCAGCAAGGCCATCGAGAGGCTGAAGAAGAAGCTGTCAGAGCAGGAGTCGCTGCTCCTACTCATGTCCCCCAGCATGGCCTTCAGGGTCCACAACCGTAACGGCAAGGTGAGCGCCCGCCGCGGTCTCGCTCAGCCAGCCGGGGCCTCCCGCTGCTAGCCCAGGCAGACCCTCCTGGCCCCCGGCTCCTATCTAGCTGGAACCTCGCTGTGCTGTGGCCGAGACCCAGCACCCGGCCGTGTGGCAGCTGGGTTCCCTGGCTCCCTTGTGGGCTGTACAACAGCAGCCCTTTTCCTCTGGAGGGCATTCCCACACCAAGAGGGGCTTATTCGGTATGGCTCCCCCAGACCCGTGTGTCCCTCTACCTGGTGCTTTGGGCCGAAGCCCCCAGATTGACAGGCAGCTGGCTCGGCCCTCACAGCTGGGAGGTAGTGGGGTCTCCAGGAAGTCTGAATAGGGCAGGGGGTTCGCAGGTTTATGCAGACTTGGCCCTCAGGACAGGGATTCTGTCTGGGGACCTTGTGGGCCTGAGGGGGGACCTTCTCTCCTGAGTCTGACTCCTAATGCCATCTGGAGCCCGGGCCTCTCCCTCTCTGGGCATCGCTCATAGCTGTCAGCGCGCAGCCTAGGGGGAGGCAGCTGGGGGCTTTGCGAGAGCCTCGTCTCTGGGTCACCGCTCAGAGCTTGTGTGCTGGACACAGGTGGTCAGGGTGGCATCGGCCCTCACCTCTGCAGATCCCACCTGGTGACCTTCTCTGTGGCCCTAAGCCACAACATGCCGTGCCGTGGCCCAGGCAGTCCGGACAGGGGACCGGTGCCAGAGGAAGAGCTGCACGGGCCACGGGAGCTGGGGCCTGAAGCCCGGCTGGCAGGAAGGGTGGAGAGTGCCAGAAGCACGAGCCAAGCTGTGAGCACACTCAGCCACCAGGCTCCAGCCAGCCTCTGGCACCCAGGTCCCTGTGTCTTGGAGGGGTGCACTGCCGGACTCTGTATGGACTGCAGCAGGGAGCGGCGCCTGAGCGGGAGCGGAGGTAACCAGGGTGTATTCTCCTTCTCGCCCCCCAGAGTTACACGTTCCTGATCTCCTCTGACTATGAGCGTGCTGAGTGGAGGGAGAACATCCGAGAGCAGCAGAAGAAGTGTAAGTGGCATCTGCAAGGAGAAACTTGGAACCTCAGGGCTGGATATTCATCTCCTCCTGTGGTTTCAAGCCTTTTCTTGCTTCCCGAGGAGCTGGGCAGTGGTGCTCTTACTCAAGTGAGATGCTACGTGAGCTCTGATTCAGAAAATAAATTGGACAGGAGCTCCTGCTAGGGCCCTGCCCTCTGTGCCCGCTTTCCTAGGCCTCCCCCGCATTCCGTATACATCACCCCCACCTGCTTTCTGACCTTCCCTGTGAACTCTCCCTCTCCCTCTCCCCCAGTGCCTTCCCTAAATTCCCCACCTGCCTCCTGAACCTCCCTACTCTGATGCCTACCTGCCCCCTGTGGCCCCTCTGCGCCCTTGCCTGTCCCACCCCCAGGCCTCCCTCACCCTCTAGCAGGTGCTGATGCCAAAGGGGCCCTTGGCTGGACCCGCCTGGGCAGCCACAGTGTGCTGGCCCCACTCCCTATCCAAGGGGCCAGCACTTGATTACTCTTAGGATAGGGTGCTCACTCTCTCTGGGATGGTCCCTTCCCTGGGTGCTTCCCTCTCTTAGCAGTTCTCTCCCCCTCCTGAGCTCAGAGCTGGCCCTGGGCCTGTCTGGCAGTCTTCAGGGATGGGAAGGCAGACCCTGCCGTAGGTCCTGGGGCTGCAGCTGCTTGGGTCCTTCCCCTGCACCCCAGCTGTATGGTTCGGGACTCCTGAGCCGTCCTTGCTGAGAGGTTCCCAGGTGTGCTGCGGGTGGCACTGTTCCGAGAGTGCCTGCAGAGAGAGCCGGGCTGAGCACTGTGTCCCGGGTGGGCTGGGAGCTCCACACGCCTCTGCCCTGTCCTGAGCTCCCATCCCTCTGGGCTTATCATCCTTGCCTGTGCTGAGCCATTTCCCCCTGCAGTGCCCCTGCATCCTGGGGGATGAAGCACTCCTGGTGCCTGCTGCCCTGCCCCGGCTCATGTCCTGGGTTTGCTTTTATAACCAGGGAACCCCAACCATTTGCAGCATGGCAGCGTCTATTCCCTGCTCAGCGCTGCAACAGAAATAAGCCCCTTTTCCTAACCTGGTGGAGACAGGGGCCCTCACTGGCGCAGGGCGGGGATATGCTGGGTGTCTGTGTGGGAAGATACTCCCGGTCATCCTCTCCCAGTTGCCTTGTGGCTGTGCTTAGGTGCAGGCCAGCTCTTATGTTTGCAAGTCTTATGCTAATTCCTCCTGCCCTCTGAGCCCAGCCTTGGCCAAGGCCACGCCTTGCTTGGCTACTTACCAGCTCCTCTCTTGGCAGCAGGTCGCCCCCTCCTGGCCACCACATCTCATCTCATCACCAGGGTGTGGTGAAGGTCCAGCGCAGGGACATCAGAGAACACCCTCTGGGTGTCCCAGCAGTCTGAGAAGCCATGCACACTGGCTGGTTGTGATGCACTGGGTTCTACCCTCTCAGGTTTCAAAAGCTTTTCCCTGACGTCCGTGGAGCTGCAGATGCTGACCAATTCGTGTGTCAAACTTCAGACCGTCCACAGCATTCCACTGACCATCAACAAAGAAGGTGGGCTGTCCTCCCAAGGGCTGCTGTCCCTTTCTGCTGTCAGCACTGTCTTTGGGACCGTGGGTTTCTCGAAGGAATGCGTGTGCTGCTTAGGGCCTGTCGGCCTCTCCCAGGAGTGGATGGGACGGGTCGGGTGGTCTATCTCCAGCTGCTGGGTGGTTGAGGAGACCCATGACTTTATTCCTGGTCACACGACACATCTCAGATCCTCTGTGCTCTGGGTCTGGTCCCGCTGCCCTGTCCTCCCAGCCAGGCGCCTCCTGTGCACACCTTTGGTCATGCTGCATTTTGCGTTCACTCGTGCACACACTTGCGTCCACTCATTCCCACTCACAGGTATATGCTTGTGCACATGCATGTACACACACAACATCCATGTCACATGCCACCCCTCCGCTTTCCTGTCCTGGGAACCTTATTATGTTTCACCTCAGTCACCAGTCTGCCGTGTTGCAAACCCAACTCAGATCCTAAGGTCCCTGAGACAGAGGCTACAATGGATATGTTTCTGGCTCGTGACATCACCTGGCCTCGTGCTGAGCAAATGGCAGTCACATGGTGCTCCCCTTGAGGGTTGATTTTGAAGCAGAGCCTGTCACTCGCCTCCCTCTCTCAGGAGAATGGATGCTCACCTCTTTGCTCTCTTGCACAGATGATGAATCTCCAGGGCTGTACGGGTTCCTGAATGTCATCGTCCACTCCGCCACCGGCTTTAAGCAGAGCTCAAGTAAGTGCTTAGTTTGGGGAGGAAGACGGCAGGACACTGACCTGGAGGCTGTGAGGAACCAGGGTCATGACTCAGATTATCATCAGATGCCTTGGACCCTTAACCCTGTGAGGTCCCGTGTGGGTTGACACCCGGAGTGGGTTGTTGCGGGTCTCTGGTCTCTAGTCTCTAGACCAGATGTAGGAGCTGCTGAGCTGCTTCCCTGCAGGCGGGTCTTGTCATTGCAGGCAGTGGAGTCTGCTACAGACAGGAAAATACAGGCGGTGTTCCAAGCTGTGGGCAGCAGCGCCCTGACCCAGCCAGCAGAGTAGATTTGGCTGCTGACAGCTAAACGGATTCCCTTTTCCTCCCACCCCTCCGAGGTGGGGAGCGCCTTGCAGGTGCTCAAGCTGTCGGAGCAGTGGGGCTGGTTGCATTTCAGTCCAGGGCAGCACACTCTGCACCCCTCAGCATGCCACCTCCACACGAGCCCTCGGGGCCCCTGGTAGGAGGACGCAGGACAGGCACTGTGCTGCTGACCTTTCCCGCTGACGCCGCAAAGCTGACTGAGAAATCGCCGATGAGCTGTAGCCTAGAAGACAGTATTTACAAACCATATGTATATGTGTGTGTGTGTGTGTGTGTGTGTATACACATGATATGGGACTTGTATTCAGAGCATATAGAGAACTTTCAGAAACTCCGTGCAAAGGAGACAACCCAGTTTTTAAAAATGAGGAAAAGATTTGAATACACTTCACCAAAGAAATACAGGTAGCTAATTAGCACGTGAAAAGATGCTCATGGTTGTAGGGAGATGTAAATTAAAACCACAGTGAGGTCCCACTTCATACCCACCAGAACGGTGATAATCAAAAGGTGCACAGTGACAGATGTCGGTGAGGATGTGGAGAAATTGGAACCCTCAGACACTCCGCTGGGGCTGTGAAATGGCTCAGCCACCCTGGAAGACAGTTTCAGTTTCTTAAAAGTTAAAACACACCTGTACCGTGTGATCCAGCAACCCTGCTTTTAGGTATTTCCTCTAGAGAGATGAGGGCGTGTTCGCATAAAACACACCGCATTCATCCACACGACGGAGCAGCACTCAGCAGTAGAAAGGTACAGAGGACTGATACAGGCAGCCACAGGGATGCATCGAAAAGAGAATTATTCCCAACAAGACACCTGATTCAAAAGACTAGATGTCGTGTCATTCCACGTGTCAGAAATTTCTAGAAAAGGCACAATTTGGAGACAGCCTGGCAGGGGTTTCCTGGGGCTCAGGGTGAGAGGAAGATTGGACTGCGGTTGAACCCAAGGGGCCTTCTTGTGGGGAGAGGGCAGTGTCCTAAAACAGTGGCAGGGCTGTTTGCACAAGTGTTTAAATTTACTAAAAATCCCCAAACTTACAACAGATGGGTTATGCAGTATGCAGATTATACCCCCATAAAGTCATATGGGGACTTCATGTAAAAAGTTTTTGTAATTGTTATGTAATTGTTCCCCTGGGCGCACCTGCCCCATGCCCCCCTCACATAAATGCTGGTGTTTTCCAGGGTTCCATCTGGGCCTTCACTGCGTATACTCCCTCCTTCCTACGCCCAGGGACCTTTCCATCAACAGCGCAGATGATGCCTGGCACCTGCCTCTCCATCCCCACGTGGCTCTCCTGGGCCCCCTCTGTTACCTTTCCATCTGTGTCCTCAGCATCCCACGTTCTAAACTCTGCATCCCCAAACTGAACCTATCACTTGGGCCCCTAAACTTGTTCCTCTTCTTTTTTGTCCTACCCCAGTGAGAAGTGCCACCCTCCACCGCATGGCCAGGCCAGAAACCACCATCTGGTTTACTGGTCATATCAGTAAGATGACATTCTCTATCAATGGAGTTTCCTCGTCACTGCTGGCCACCTGCCCCACCCTTCATCCAGACCCCAGCAGTGGCCTCCTCCGTGGTCCTTACCTCCACTCGCCCCATACCCCACAATTCTCCCAGCACGGAGCTGTTTTCAGTGCCCTGCCCTGGCCTGCAGCACCCTTTGCCCCAATTAAGTTGGTAAACTCAAACTGCGCAGGTGGTAGGCACTTTCCCCAGCCCCAGCCCTCTCTATGCATCATCTTGTGGTAATGGCACATTCATCTCTGCCCAGGTCACCAGCCATGGGGCTCTGCTCACATAGAGGCTTTAGTTAGGGTTTGTCAAGGGACTAAGTGAACGCATGTTCTGAGAGGTGCTGGTTCAATTGCACCACGGGGTGGAATCATTGCATGAGGTGCTGGGGCTTGTGCTAGCCGCTGGTGTGTTGTTTTATTTTAAAAAGAAAATTAAGGGGCCCCTGAGTGGCTCAGTTGGTTGGGCATCTGCCTTCAGTTCAGGTCATGATTCCGGAGTCACAGGATTGAGCCCTGCGTCAGGCTCCCTGCAGCAGGGAGTCTGCTTCTCCCTCTCCCTCTGCTTCTCCCCTCCTCCACTCATGCTCTCTCCCTCTCACTCACTCTCTTTCTCTCAAATAAATAAAATTTTAAAAAAAGAAGAAAATTAAGGCCACTTTTTTTCTGATTTTGAAAATGTCGGGGAACAAGAATTCCTGTACCCCTCAAGGGTCCTTTCAGCTGGACTAAGAATCAAATTGACATGAGACCAACTAACGAGAAAATTCAGTTTAATAGCGTACACACAGGAAATCCACACAAAGATGGAAATTATAGAGCTAGTCAGGCAAAACGAGGCATATGTGTCATTCTGAACTAAGGAGAAGGGGGTAGGGGTCAGGGAGTTGAAAGGAAAGGAATGCATATCACAGGGCAATAAGAACAGATGTTTGGGGATGCCCAGGTGGCTCAGTTGGTTAAGCATCTGCCAGGGTCCTGGGATCAAGTCCCGCATAGGGCTCCTTGCTCAGCGAGGAGTCTGCTTTTCCCTCTCCCTCTGCTGCTCCCCCTGCTTGTGCCTTGCTCTCTCTCTCTCTCTCTCACAGATAAATAAAATCTTTAAGTAAAGTAAAAAAAAAAGAAAAAGAACAGATGTTTGCCCTGCCATACCAGTGGCTCACTCAGATAAAATTTATTTTTGCTCGTAACCCTTATTTTGAGAAAGGACCCCCCCCTCCCCAATCTAGATTCTTCTGTGTAGTTAAGGCAAGGGCAAAAGTTTCTCTTCAGCTCAGAATAATCTCCATGTCACAGTGGCCCATCTTGGGGCAGCCTGCCCTTGGCCCCCTACAAAAATAACCCCTGCTCTCACAGAAAATGCAGGTATTGTGGAAAAGCGCGGTCACCTTCCCTGTGTCGCCCTTCCACAGATCTGTACTGCACCCTGGAGGTGGACTCCTTTGGTTATTTTGTGAATAAAGCCAAGACACGCGTTTATAGAGACACAGCGGAGCCCAACTGGAACGAGGTGAGGTACTACTGGGCATGTCTTGCATGCTGGCCCTGGCAGGCAGGCCAGGATCTTGTCCTTGGAGAGAGTCTGAAACACCCCCCCGCCCCGCCCCTAGGGCTCCCTGATGGCTTCCCCGCTCTGTGCCAACCCCCCAACCCCCCCCAACAGGCGCCACCACCAGCATTCCACCAGCATGCCGGGAATCTCCTGGGAGGAGAGGGGGGACTAGTCCAAGAGATTTTATCTCTGTGTTCCTGAGAATCCAACCCCCCCCCCCCCCCCCCCCCCCGTTACAAAGAAACAGCTTATTTTGCTGGAGAAGCTTTTGGAAAACGAACTTAAAAGGGCTTTTTGTGCTGCCTTTGTTATTGCTTAGTGTTTACTTGGTAAGTTTCCAAGGCGTTTTTCCTTGGAAGTTGGAATGAGCCCTGTGATCCTCTTGGTTTCTGGAAGCCTGGGGCTCTGCCAGCTGTCGCTGGGGTAGGGACCTGATTTGCCTGTCTCCCGGTATTGGGTTTGTATAGTTTGCTGCTCTGTTCTCCTTCACCTTGGAGAGCTGTTAACTCGCTTACCATCTTGCCTTGAGCCTTTGGGAGTATGGGAATGATTACTGATTAAGTCGCCACATCCGTGAGAATGCCATTTCCCAGTCTCTGGAGCAGCTGTGGCCCTCAAAGGCCTCATGCTTGAAGATATGGGTGGGGGCATACCTCCCATCCCCCCTGCAGAAGCAGCAGCTAAGTCCCACCTGGCTGCCTGGTCCACCTCGGGTCATGTGGCTCGTGAGCCCCCAGCTCTCCTTTCTTGGTGTGCCCTACTCTGATCATCAGACTCAATGCCTTAGTAGGACTGGGGCACGGGGAGCCCATAGGATTGCCCGGGCATGATAGCCCTGGGCGTCCCTGCAGAAAGGGTGGGGGCTGCCACGGCAAGGGAGCAGCACAGCCAGATGGAGCCACCAAAGGCTTTGCAGGGAGCAAGAGGGCCGTGACTGACAGGGGCAGTGAGGGAGGGGTCCTGGACACAGCACAAAGGGTTCAGGTGAGGGCCGGCAGCGGAGGCTCAAGGAACCAAGGCATGGAGGGTTCCAGACCAGCGGGTCACCTGGTGGCTGGCCTGCGTGTGCATCTGGATCGTCCAAGAGTGTTGCATATTCCTGGCATATGCGCCCTCCCCACCCCGATGCAGGCTCAGAAATCTCTCCTTTTTTCTTTTCCGTCACCCTCTTCCCATTTCTCCACCACAAACCTGTGCCTGCGACAGCACTGGTGTGAAATGCAGAATTTACCGAAGATATCCTGGGGCGATGGGGGAGGAAGTTATCACCGCACATCCCACAGCAGGCAACTCGGAAGCCTACAAGAACAGTTCTTTCCTCTCTCCTGTATCACCTCCCTGGGTCGATTTTTTTTTTCCCCTTTCAAATAGACTGACTTTTTAGAGCAGCTTTAGGTCCAGAGCAGAAAGGACAGAGATGTCCCACATACCCACTGTCCCCAAACATGCACAGCCTCCCCCACTAATCGGTGATCCTGCACTGACACATCATTATCACCCGAAGTCCATAGAACATCTGCACTTGTAACCAGCACCCCTGAGCTTCTGATGTAGGTGGTGCGGGGACTGTCCTTTGACATTCTGGCTTAGGGAGTTTGGATTAGGTGTTAGAGGCATTCAGAGCTTCCAGAAGCATCCAGACTGGGCCATAGTGGGGTGCTCACAGGGAAGTAACTTCTGAGGGTCTTTGTCGCAGGACTAAAGCGGAGAGGGTCTCAAGGCATGGGTCCTCCTGGGGCACCAAGGAAGCCATTGGACCTGTCTGCTAGTGAGAGACTTTCCTTCTTTCTTGGGACTTCAGGAATTTGAGATCGAGCTGGAAGGCTCCCAGACCTTGAGGATACTGTGCTATGAAAAGTGTTACAACAAAACGAAGATCACCAAGGAGGATGGCGAGAGCACAGACAGGATCATGGGGAAGGGCCAGGTCCAGGTAAGGCCACCACCCTCCTCTGCCCCCTGTAGAGCCCCTCTGCCCCCCCTCATATACCTGCCCCTGGACCTGCCCACACCCTCCTCCGGATGTTCCCAGTTCTTTCCCCAGTTGACCTTCTGGGACACGGAGATGGCCTGGCTCCAGGGATTGGGGGCAGGTGCCCCTGGACTTCCAAAGGGACCCTCACAGGTCCTTTCCTGCCCCTCTCTGTGTTTGAGTGTCTGTTATACCCATCTTGTCCCCAAAAGAAGTTCAGTTTGGCTTGTTCTCACAGCAGGGGCCTCAGTTTCTCCATGGCCTTGTGTTTCCTGTGGCTCACCTGTGCAGTTCTGTGCCCCATTGGGGGGAAGCCCTGATATCCATGTTCCTTACGGGCCTCTTACCAGACCCAGCCGAGCAGGTTCCTCCCTGCCCTGCCTTGGGGGTGGGCACTGACTGCTCCCACTCCTCTCGGAGCCTCGGACCCTCTGGTAAAGCCCCCAGCAGGAGTGGGCTGGGCATTCCAGGTGTCTGTGGGAGAAGGGGGCTCTCCATGAAGCCCCACCTCCCTTCTCTGAGGGCAGGAAGTAAAATCCTTTTGTGCTGAAATACTGAGCAGCAGGGATGAAGGAGAGGGAGGGTGACTCACCCCTGAGTAATTTCGTCTTCCGGGGGTGGGGGGGGCACATGCTCATCCTTCAGAGGAGCAAGTCCTCACTTAGCGGGGGCTCCAGACCCCCTCTCTGTTTCACCAGGTTCTCAGGTTCTGGTTCCCCAGGTTTTCACGGCTGCCTAATTTCCCACCCTGGAAGCTTATTAGGGAATTCAGTGGCTCAGGGCCTCCAGGGACCCCTCCCACCCTGTACCTTGAGACCAGGTCTAAAAGCAAAAATGCTCCTCTGACTGCCTTATTCCTGCCCTCCCCGACCTGCCTTCCAGCAAACACCACCCCATACCCCGCACCTTCCCAGGAGAGCAGGCCCAGGGCCTCAGCCGCCCCCACAGACAGGACCTGGGGCTGGACTCTACTGAAGTCAGGGGTAGGACCAGCCTGGGGCAACACTCCAGTGAGTCCACTAAGGTTTGGGATGCACATTGGGGATCAGTGGGGCAGCCTTATCTGACACAGGGAAAGCAGGATTATTGGCCCCTCTCTCAGATGGTATAACTGGGGTGCAGGGGGTTCCCAAACAGACTTCAGCTACTCACCGCTGATAAAATCTGAAGGCAGAGAGACGAGAGATGGTGAGACAAGAAAGAGATTTACTTCAGCGAGGCCACCACCAGGAAGACAGCAGGCTAGCGTCTCAAAGACGGTCTCCAAAGTGCTAAAAATACTTGCAGGTTTATAGAAGGAAAGTGTGGGACAAAGGTTGGTGGGTGCCGGCAGGTGGGCAGTGAAGGTCAGGTGGAGCATTGTCTTGGGGTCAGTCACGTGGGGTCTTGCCGAATTCCAGGCAGTCCTTACTGCTTGAGGGGATAGCTTCGGTTCTCATCACGGGTTGCTTTGCCCGCAGGGTCTTTTGCCTGAGTTAAGAGATAAGCTGGAAAGAAGAACGTAGTCAATGAGGAAGTGCGGACTGAGGTAGAAATGAAGGTGGTTGAAATCCTCTGTCAATGGGCATGGTCTTCTTTGAGGGCCAGCTGCTGGTCCAGGGCCACCCGGTAGATGTCCTGGACCTGGGTCCTACCTGTGGCTTAGATGCTGAGGGAGAAGGGGATGGTTCCTCCTTGCTCCCCATCAGCCTGGTACACCATTGAGCCAGTTGTAGCGGTCTCGGTAGCAAAGGGCTTCTGGATAGAAGAAACAGAAATGCAAGCCAGTGCTTTTCAGCTATTCCACTTTCGGGGTCCTATCCAGGGATCTTTGACAAGCCAGGTCCCTTCCCCAGCCATGAGCTGGGCATGGGCCCCACCTTGACAGATGCGTGTGCCCACTGCGAAGTTGGGGTGGCGTCTGGGGGTGGCTCGCATGCTCAGTGCGGACACTCACCACTCTGCAGCCCATGTGCGTTGACGCCCCAGTGTCCTTGAGATCCAACCCCATATGTCCACATAGATTCCGTTCACTTTCTTGGCTTGATAGAGAATCCCATGGATTGAGTCAGCCATATCAAGGGGCTCTTCTGCTCTTGATGGACACTAAGGGGTTTCCCAGCTTTTGCTGTTCTGTGAGCAGCTGGTGCTGGACATCTTTGAGGACTGACATGTTTTGGCACCTAGTGGGCAACAGTCACAGCTCGGGCCCTTTGAGGTTTCAGGCTCTGCTCTGCTGCTCAACAACTAATGTGTTCCCTTTGCTCCCCCCCCCTCCACATTTGCATCTGTCCCCAGCCCCAGCGTCCCTCCCACACACTCATGCCCTGACCACCCCCCCCGCCCCGTCTTGCAGAGAGCACCAAGGCAAGCTAAGGATGCACACGGACTGGGTGTCCGGCTCCTTTTTTCAGTCCATCACACAAGACTAAGGGAGGCTCAGATTCCACCGACCTTTGACTCGACTCATCCAAATCCTCCAGTGCTAGAGTTCTGGGGTGGTAAGATTTGAACCAGGGCCTCTGAGCACTGTCACTGGATAACTGGGCGTCTCAGTGGAAAAGAGAAAAGAAAGGATACTCATCCTCTTCTTTCATTCTGTCGAGCCTTCTCTGGAAACCCTTTGCCATGATACTACTGGACATGAACAAAATATTCCTTTATGAGCACAGCCTGTGCTCTTAGACACACCGGGGGTGCCAGGTGAGCACCCTGCCCTGTCCCGGGGAAGAGGAGAGCAGTGGGGTCGTGGGGGCTGGCTTGGGCATCTCTGAGCTTTAGCTGTTCTCTGCCCCTTTCTGCCCTCTGACCCCAGTCTGCATTTCCCCATGCAGGCGCTCTGAGGGGTGCTCCTCAGCAAACACTCTCCCTTCCTGTTCCTTCCAGTAGGACAAGATAGGACAGGAGTGGAGGACATGGACTCCATTAAAAAAAAAAAAAAAAA